CGCGCTGGGGTCGCGGGGCGCCTGCTCCTCGCCCCTCGGATCGGGGGCGTGCCTGCTCGAGATGCTCTGAGCTCAACTTGAACATGCCGAGCCGCTGGAGCTGGAACGTGAGAGGCTAGGTGATCATGTAGGGCCGAACGATTGTCAAAACCTGCCTCTCTCGAGCAGCACGGCTCCTGATTGTGACCCAAGACTGACGCAACCGTAATCCGTGTAAGTGGGCGCTCCAGGGCCTCTGGTGTTTGAACCCGATGGTGGTAGATAGTCGTCACAGGGCACCGTTTCTGGAGGACCGCTTGTAGTGCGTGTGACTGTGCAATGCGCCGCGTGCGGAATGTCTGTCTACAGAATGGGCACTAATTTGTAACCGTAACGCTGTGTACCATGGACCTCATGTTGTGCCCTCCCGCCCTTGAGAACCTCTGGGGCGCCAGTAGAGCCCGTCGAGTTTTGAACTGTCTCCCGCAGACTGTGCCCGCAGAATCGGTTAATTCGCATGTCCATGGGTACGGATCTGGTGGAGGTGGGGCTTCTGGGGAAGCCACTGTGGGGGCCACGGGGGCATGCAGGCCAGGAGGTGGAGGTGTGACCGCAGCCTTTGCAGCCGCTCGCAGCACGCAAGGGTCGATGCGTAGAAAGCGGTCTCGCACGTCAACGTCCAGAAACAGAGCCCGAACGTTCACCCGTAGCGGGTCTGGCGTCGGAGGCTCGTAAACAAAGAGGTCCTCCAGGAAGTCGCGCTCCTCAGCGCGATTCAGGAGTCGAATAACGTCCACTGCGAACCTCCATGCAAAAGGGTTCGCCTCCGACGAGATGGTGCCGTCGGGAGTGGGAGTCGATGCCGACTCTACTGGTAGTTGGCCAAACACCGCAGCGATCTCTTGAGAGTGGCATTCGGGGCGACACAGCCATCGATGATATGTACGCAACCTTCGCACTCGTAGCTCGGTGCCCGTGGGGGCCACACCCAGGCGTCGCAATGCGTCTTCATCCTTCAGTGCCTTATACCGTGGTAGTGGGACCCCATCAGCGGCCAGCAGAGGTGTCCCATCGGGTCCCAAGATCTCCGTTTTAACACGCGCGTCTCCTCCCACGAGTTTGCGACCAAACCCCGTCAGCACACGATCCAACCTCCTTTCCTGCGTGGGCGACAGTATCATCGTGTTGAGACCGCTAAGCAGGGCCCCTTGCACAATCGCCCCAAAGACAGCCCGTGTGAACCTCCACGCCCGATTGCGGGCCCAGAATCTTCCCATCGAGTAGTGGCCCCTCCTGCATTCCAAGATGCGCCGCAGTATTTCGGTGTTCGTGCCGCCATTAGCTGACGTCGAGATCCCCAGAGACACATGATCAAACTGAACCTCCCCAGCGACAGGAACGGAGCCTCCATGCAGAGCCTGAGAGTACCCATGAGCCCCTGGTCCCACGAAGCTGGGACACACATGACTTTTGTCGGCGTTGTGCTCATAGCCTGCAGGAGCCAAACATTCCCGCAGGCGCTGGTGAGAAATGTCCAGGATATACTGAGCGTTGAGCGCCGACGACACCACGTGCGTCATCGATGTATCATCTGCATACACTCGGCAGGCAAGCGACACTGGTCTATGAAGAAACGGCGTCCACGCCGTACAGATGTCCTCCGACGGCCACGCATTCTCGTCGAGCGACCGGGGAGGAGTAGTAGGAGCGAGTGGACTGGGAACCGATTCATCACATGTTGCCGGTCGAGGAGGTGGGCAACTGTCGCGCCACACATGCTGTCGTAAAGCGTCCAACCAGCCAGCAATCGGCTTCCGAAGCGTGCGAGCGAAAAACACAGCAGCAGGGCTATCTCCCATGAGCGCACCGCACCTGTTTCGCAGAGTCTGTTCGCCCTCTGCCGTCTGGACAGTGAAGGTGCTGGTCTCATGCCTCTGGGTAAAGAACACCTGATCGCGGGGGTCCACCGAGAGCCTGACCGCGCCCTCAAGGGCCTCGAAGTTCGTGCGCCCGAACGCGTTCGACATGTCTTCCTTCGAGACGATCGCCGAGATGCCCTGCTTCCGAAGCCCCCAAGCCAAGACCTCCTGGGCCACCAGGGCCCCCTCGCGGTTCCTGCCGGGGAGATATCCGTGTTCGCGATCGGGGGGCACATCAGGGGGTCCACGCTGTAAGAGCGACTTGTACCAGGCCGCGCCCATCTTACAGAGCCCATGAATATACCTGCGAGCCTTGAACCCCGCCTTACCGTTGGCCTTGCTAAGCCCAGTAGCCCGAGAGTGGTGCCAGACCACAGGGGTCCTTTTCACGCGCCTAATCTGGTGGGGCACCTGCTGCAAACGCCTCAAGGAGACCTCATTCTTGAACCCCTCGGGAGCAGCCCCCAAGCCCCGTCGATCACCCCCAAAACGATGGCGCTCTACCAAGACATCCGCCCGCCGCCGTCGAGGAGGAGGAGGATAACCAGGGTGGGGAGCCTCCTCGGCGGCATCCTGTTCTCGCTGACGGCGGCGACGGGGTCGTCCGTCGAAGCGACGAGCTGGGTCGAGCACGAGTTGCAAAATCTCAGGCGGCACGCTGTGCAGCGGAGCCGCCTTCCGACGAGGCGACTTCGCGACGATCTCCACCGCCCTCTCCATATCCTCCCTAGCCTCCTCCGCCGCCTCGAAGTTGTTTGCGCCGAAAGGAGGGGGCGGCGGGAGCTGCGCCAGACACTCTTCCCGAAAAGGTCTGAAACTGTACTGGCGCCGCTTGAAATCCACCTGCGGGGCCAGACAGCGCAAAATACGAGCACACTTCATCGTTGCGAGGCGCAAACTCGTCTGCTGTATTGTATCGTCGCTTCCTCGGTCCGCGGCACTGTCCAGCAAGCAGGTGTGCCAGACGCCACATCTCCGCATGCCGTCGGGAGCGCCAGGCAGCCTGCAGCTCAGTAACAATTTGCTCCGTAACCTCCTGAAGCCTTGCCCTCGTTAGTTGTCTCAATCGTCGTGAACAGCGGGCCAGGGCCATGCAGGAGTCGGTATCGTCGTCACCTCGAGCCCGCTGATGCCTCCGCAACGCCAGCAAGCGCCGACGCTCCACAGAGAACTGCGCAGCCTTGTCGCCCCTTGTCGCCTGACAAGAGAAATGCTTCTCAGCGGTAGCATACACAGTAGTAATCCACTCGTGCCGCATCGGATCAGGTGCTGACGCAGTGACCATTTCATCGTGTGGGTCCGTCCGTGACTCGAAAGCATGTTCCAGATCCCGCAGAAAGTCTCCTACCTTCACACCACGACGCAAGGCCTGAGCGAGCCGGTCGAAATCCCATCGAACACCTTCAGGGCGACTAGCAGAGAAATCGAAAGAGTAGTGTACCGCCATCATGATCGGGATATGATCCTGCAGCCCTCTCCGAGGAACCAGTTTTAAACGCAGATTGGCCTGTCTAAGGCCCTTGCAGTATGCCACGCTTCTCCTTTGCCACGAGAGCGTTGCCACGTAGTCGATGACCGAGGTACTCGAGTGGCCAAAGAAGGTAGGGCCCGCTGGGTAGTCCGTCGAGGTCACCCGAATCGCAAAACTTTCCAGAAGCTCCTGAACACGGTTCCCCGCATAGTGCTGCTCCCCAAGACCATGACTCCCGTAGGCCTCCGAAGTAATGGGCCCGAGCACACCCGTTTGAGACCTATGGAGACCCAAGGCGTCGTTCAAGTCGAACCCCCAGAACATCGCAGACCGAGCCCGAGACCACGTAAAACATTTCTCCAGCCAGTTCACAATACAGTCTACAGTTGCCTGATACCTGGCGAAGGTGCCTCCAGAGCTGCTTTCTCTCCCCTCGCGCTTCTGGGACGGGCGCGGGGGAAAGTAGGTGATTGGAAGTAGGATGTCGAACCTCCCCGACCGCAGACGGTGTAGTGCTACCCTGCCCTGGAGACAAGAGGGGACCGTCGGACTGTCCACCGCATGCTGCAATCTGAACTTACGCCGACGCAATAACAGAGTAATGCCGCAGGACTTATTCACGTAATTCCCTGGTAGGTACCCGTGACGCAGCGCATAGTGATGGGCGAGGGTTGACACTGTGCACATCAATTCTCCCGCACGTTCACCCGTCCCCGTCAGGGCCACTATGTCGATATTGTGAAGCTGTTCCGAGATGTCGTTCAGCCGACCCTCGTCCGACGCCGACATGCAATTCCAATGTACGTATGTCACCCTCCCCAGCGTCCGTCCTTCTGCATGTTCGCACATTGCAGCAAGAAGAGTCAGCGAGAGCAACAAACACATGGGGCAAACATGGACGGGGACAAAGAGACTGTGGGGCCCGCTGCCCGATGAAAGTTCGATATCAGGTGCGCATGATCGCCAGCCCCACGTGGGGGCGCGCCTGAGCGGGAGGGGCTGGAGGATGAGGAGGAGGAGGAGGAGGAGGAGGAGGAGGAGGAGGAGGAGGAGGAGGAGAGGAGGAGGAGGAGGAGGAGGAGGAGGAGGGAGGAGGAGTTGGGAAACGAGAAGAGAAGGAATGATGAGCTGGGCGAGTCCGTAGAGGACGAGGCAGCGCCTCAGCACCAGAAGGATGAGGAGGGGGACGAAGGGGAGAGGAAGAGGGGGGAGGAGAAGAACCCAAACATCCGACGCCGCATTCTTTTCGCAACGTGGCTCCCCAGACCGAGGTGTCGACCTCCTCCCCGGGGCCCGTTTTTTTTCCGTCCTGAGCCGTCTCTGAGCGGCCCCGGGGCCCAGGCGAGGGCCCCCTCCGGAGGCCGAGAACGAGCAGACCCCTTCCGCCATGATCTCTTCTCGCGGCGAGAGGGGGGGGCGGGTAAGGGTGGCATCTTTGTGTAGCTGGCTTGTGTGTGTGTGTGTGTGTGTGTGTGTGTGTGTGTGTGTGTGTGTGTGTGTGTAAGGGTGAGATTTAAGACTACCACCATCATCATCATCATCATCATCATCATCATCATCATCATCATCATCATCATCATCATCATCATCATCATCATCATCATCATCATCAGAGGACATGGGGGGGGCACCAGTACCACGCGGCGTCCGCGAGCTCGCGGTCCCAGTGGCGGCCAGAGCACCTGGTGTGCCTGGGGGGGGCTGCCGCCTGGTCTCTCCCTCCCCCCCGCTCGCGGCGCGCCGCTGCCGCTGCGCACTGCGCCGTCTCGCGCGGCGGGGGTGGGGGCGCGGCCGCGTGCGATCGGGAGAGCGGCGGGAGTGGGGGGCCAACGATACGGGGAGGAAGCATCGACCTGGAATCGGCGATACAGTAGGACCCAGGCCAGGAGAACTTCCCTTCAAGAGCATGAGAGACCTCCGTCGGCCAAAACACACAGAGAGCATCCAAGGGTACCCTCCCCAGGATGCACAAGCACATCCAGCAAACACTTTTTTTTCCGTCGGCGGCGAGGCAGAGGCAGTCCGCTCCAGCGTGAGGCTGCCCGGGGCAACCGACATGCGAATCGTCCAGCGTGCGAGAGGAGGGCGGCCGCGCGGGGGGACGAGGGGGGGAACATCCAGCAAACACAAATAACACTAGTAGAATAGTAATAATGATTATAATAATAGTAATAATAATACTACTAATAATAATAGTACTACTACTAATAATAAGAATAATAATAATAATGATAACACTACTATTATTAATAATAGCAATACTAGTAATAATACTATTAATAATAATATTAATAATAAAAATATTACTACTACTAATCATAATATTAATAATACTATTAATATTATTATTCTTATTAATAATAATATTAATAATAATACTAATACTAATATTAATGATAATAACAATAATACTAATAACAATAATAATAATAATAATAATCATCATGATAGTAATGCTAATAATAATACTAAGAAGAAGAATGAGAATAATAAGAAGAAGAATAATAATACTAAGAATAAGAAGAAGAATAATAAAAATAATAATAATAATAATAAGAAGAAACATAATACTAATAATAAGAAGAAGAAGAAGAATAAGAATAAGAATAATAAGAAAAATAAAATAATAGTACTAAGAATAATAATAATAATAAGAAGAAGAAGAAGAAGAAGAAGAAGAAGAAGAAGAAGAAGAAGAAGAAGCAACATAATAATAAAACAACACGTAAACATAAACTTTTGGCGCTCCTCGCGGATTTCTTGGATCCGCGCTGGAAGCCCCCTCCCTGGCGCGCGGAGCGCGCCAGGGGCGGCGCCGGAGGCGCCGCCGGGGATGCCCAGCGCGGATCCAAGAAATCCGCGCGGAGCGCCAAGAGTTTATGTTTATGTGTGTTTTGTCTTCGTCGAACTGGGGCACCCTCCCCGAACCGACCTCGACCTTGTGCCTCGGTTTGCGTTGCCCCCATCATACTTAAGTCGGGCCTGTCCCTCTACAGGAGGAATATTCAAAAATAGTAAAAAATAGTCAGGGGACCATTTTGTTGACTATTTTCGAGCATTTTTGGAGCATTTTTGGGGTAATTTGAATTTTTCGTCCAAAATCCCTCTGTAGGAGGACAGGCCCGACTTAACACTCAAGGACCACATCCCAGAAACAATTTCGAGCACCCCGAAGAGCATCGTGACAGTGTCGCAGGAGTGCCGCCTCCCAGGGCCCGACGCAGGAAGACCCCCTGGTTCGGGTGCTTCCTCGGTGCTCGAGCTTCTTTTTGGGCGATCAAGGCTACAGTAGGTTTATTGCGGGCCTGTCCCCCTGCAGGGGGATTTTAGACGAAAAATTTAAAAGACTCAAAAATACCAAAAAGATGCCTCAAACATTGACTATTTTTGAATATTTCCCCTGTAGAGGGACAGGCCCGACTTAAAAGTAGGTTGGAACATTGATCCCACTGATTCTCGTCGTCCGGTTTTCGGGTCATAGCTCGGCGAGGCGCAGCTGCTGGAGAGCATCCCGGGGCCGGAAAAAGCCGCCGAGATCCGACGATAACGCCAGCGAGCCTCAACCTTGAACGCGCCGCCGAGAGCATCCCCGGGCCGGAAAGCCGCCGAGATCCGACAACGCCAGCGAACCTCAGCCTTGAACGCGCCGCCGAGGAGGCCTCGGTCCGCGGGTGCCTCGCCAGCAGGTCGGCGGCGTGGCCCCCCGCCCAGCACGTCCGCACGCTGCCGGGCGGGGCGGGGCTGCCGGGCCCCCCTCGGCGAGATCTGCGGGCGCCGGGGGGGCCGATGCGCCCCCCCCCCCGCTTGGGCCTCCTCCTTCTCCTCTTCCTCCTCCTCCTCTTCCTCCTCCTCCTCCTCCCTCTCCTCCTCCTCCTCCTCCTCTCCTCCTCCTCCTCCTCCTCCTCCTCCTCCTCCTCCTCCTCCTCCCTCTCCTCCTCCTCCTCCTCCTCCTCCTCCTCCTCCTCTCCTCCTCCTCCCCTCCTCTCCTCCTCTCCTCCTCCTCCTGCTCCTCCTGCTCCTCCTGCTCCTCCTGCTCCTCCCTCCTCCTCCTCCTCCTCCTCCTCCTCCTCCTCCTCCTCCCGCTTGGGCCTGCCCCCCCCCCCCCCGCAGCGTACAGTCGGGGCGTTGACCTAAGGAACGCCAAATAAGAAGCGAGGCCCCCTTTTCCCCCCTAAGCTAAACTTCGATTTCCCATGGAAAACCAGAAAAGGAAAACTGTAAACCAATCAAGAAACACCGAGCCCCTCCCAAACGAAAAAGGTTCCTTCTTCAGCCCCCCCCCAGCAGCGTTCAGTCGGGCATGTCCTCCCACGGGCGGATTTCGAAAGAGCAATGACAACATAGCCAACAAAAACTCAAGAGCAGCAACAGGAAAATCGAAACATCGTCCCCTACTGTTTTTGACCATTCCTGAATCTTCCTCCAGTAGAGGGACATGCCCGACCTAAGAGGAACGCCGTCCCTGGGGGATGTGGAGCGGGCCGGGGCAGGGAGAGCGAGGGGGAAGTGGGGGCAGAGGGAGGGGACGAGAGAGAGTGAGAGAGAGAGAGAGAGAGAGAAGGAGAGCGAGGGGGGAGGGGGCAGAGGGAGGGGACGAGAGAGAGTGAGAGAGAGAGAGAGAGCCCCACTCTCCCTCGCTCGTTGGGAACAAAGTCCCCGCGGACAACTCTTGGCACTCTTCGGCCTCCGAAGGCCCTCCCAGGGGCCGCGGGGCCCTCAACAGAACGACTCGGGATGCGAAGCTCGAAACCTCCTGGCGAGACCCTTAGAACCGCGAGACCTGAGATCTGGGAGTTCCATAGGGGAACAAAAAGTGACATAAACATAACAACTCGGAGGTCCGCGCGGATTTCTCGGATCGGCGCTGGACCCCCTCCCTGGCGCGCGGAGCGCGCCAAGGACGGCGCCGGAGGCGCCGCCGGGGGGCCCAGCGCCGATCCGAGTAATCCGCGCGGACCTCCGAGTTGTTGTGTTTCTGTCACAATGTGTTCCCCTATTCCAATCGCACCAAGCGTTTTCGCCCAGTTTCGGGCCCCTAGGGCCGTCCCCGATCGGTCCGGCTCGAGACAGTGCAGCAAACTGGTGGGGTCCAGGTCTCTGGTCGTGAGTCTTCGCGATGCCGGCTTTCTGCTTTTCATGCAGCGTCGGATCTCGGGAGAGAAAGAAAGACAGACGAGAGGATCCAGGGACCAGTGTAGTGACGGAAGAGAAGAGGCCCCCAGGGGCTCCCCAAGAAGCCTTCGGGAGGCCTCAAGACGCCCCTTCAGAGGCCTCTGAGACGTCCCCGGGGAGGTCCCCCGAAAAGCCCTGCCAATAAGCCCGTACGTTGTCCATGAGCCAAGCACGGTGGTGGAGTAGGCCGAAGGCCACTAGACCTGTTGGCATAGGGGCGGAAAACGCGGGTTCTTTCTGTGAGGGCGCGAGGTAGCTGGCTAGTGTCTTGGAGCCCTCCTGGTGTGAAGGCTTGGGTACGACATGCAAACCTCTAACAACAAACCACGCGAAAATCAATTAATATCGTATTTCCAGGCCTTCCAGGGGTTATTTTGGGGCCGTTTTAGGGCTCTCCTGGGCCGTCCCAGGACCCTCTTCGGCCGTCTTGGCGGGCTTGGGTGTCCACGATGTCCACGATCCAAGCACGGTGGTGGAATAGTCCGAAGGCCGCTAGATCCGCCGCCCCCTGCTGATTCATCTCTGGGGTGCCTGGCGAGCTAAACTGTCTGATGGGTCTTTTGGGTTCTTTTTAAGACTTCCCCTGGGGCTTCGGTCCATTGCGCCGGCCACCCAGGAAGCCGCCGAGTATTCATCTCTCGTGGGTCGAATCGTCTCCAAGACGGCCCAGATGGCTCAAGATGGCTTCCGAGCTGCCTCCAAGATGTCTCCATGACGGCCAAAATGGCCCGAAGAATGCCCACGATGGTCCAAACATGTTCCAAGACGACCCAAGATGCACCTAAGACGGCCCAAGGTGGCTCCAAGATGGCCCAAGACGACCGAGAGTCCCACAAGAGGCCCAAGAGGCCTCCAAAAGGGCCTCCAGGAAGGCCCGACGAGGCCAAATCATTGAGTTTCCATAGGTTATTGGAAGATTTTTTCGCAACTTTAAAACGGCCTTCCGACGGCCCAAGATACCAACACAATCACCCAAGAGGTCTCCAAGATGGCCCCAAGACGACCCAAGAGGCTCCCAAGATCCCCAGCGGGCCTCAAGACAGCCCAAGACGCCTCCAAGATGCCCAAGATTGGCGTCAAGACGGCCCTGAATCGCCCCAACAACAGGGCCCCAAGAGGGTCCAGAGAAGCTCTCAAGACGGCATCCGACGGCGTCAGACGGGCCAGGAACGCGGTGAGACGTCCAAAGAGGCTCTCCCAAGATGCCCCAAAGGCCCCCCAAAGGCCCAAGGAGGCCCCCAAGAGGCCTCCAAGATGCCCTCAGGAAGCTCCCAAGAGGTCTCCTCATCCTTCTCCTCATACTCCTTTTTCCTGCCTCTCCTCATCCTCGTCCTCCCCCACGTGTTCCCCGAAGGGCTTTTACAACGGCTGGGGGAACGCATGGTCGAATAGCATGGCCAAGCTTTGCCCAGATGTTTGGCCACACAGACGTATCGTACAATGCAGGGTGCGGCGCTGATTTGCCGTAGGCGTCTTCGATCCGCCGCCCCCTGCTGATTAATCAAAGTGGTGCCTGGGT